AATTCCTGCTCCCAAACATAATATATCATCTTCGCGAGTACATTATGAAAACAAAAATTCTCTCATCTAACTCGAACAATGGGGGAAAAAAATAAAAACCATTAGCCACAGCAAAATTGTCTGAGTTGGAGATGGACTCGACACGCCCCTCCCCCAGTTTTAGGAATGTCCTTGACAAGCTCACGACCTCTACGTCGTGATTATCGTGGCCTGTCCAGGTCCCAACATTTTCGAACCTCGGACAAGATCCAAATCTCCCTCTTGTCAAAATCCCAGCGTCGCCCAATATCGCAGTGGTTCGCATAATCATCCCCCCTACTTAGGCATGTTCAAAACAGTAGCATCTAAACATTGCTATGTCCTAAAGATACTGCCTAGGTAACTAAATTCTGAAACCATCACCAGGATATCTTGCACGAGGATTCCACTATACCACCTTGACTAGTTAAAACACCTGTCTCAGGCACAGGGTGCCGTTGCCATAGAGGTGCCTGTGGCGCCCAGTAAATATTTAAATTCCCTTAGTTTATTATGGGGAAGTGTGAACCGGGGGTCAAGAAACGGTATTCTAACTTTTTACAATCACTTAATTAATATAAATTAATTTATTAATACCATATTTCCTTGTCCCTCAACAATTATTTCAGCAGAAAGACTATGGGGAACAAAAAATTTTCCGGGGCGCAAAATCGCAAGCGCATATCAGAAAAAGTACGTCTAATCGGAAAAAGTGCGGAGCCATACAGGGACAGGGAAAAGGGCGCTGAACGGGTGCTTCTCACATTGGGGAAAATTTATACAAGGCTTAACTTTGGCGCTCCTAATAATCATCAAAGGGAAAAAAAACTAGTTATTCCATAAAGAGTTTATTAACTATGTTGTTGTTTTTAAGAAAGAATGAACAGATCATTGTGTGTGTGAAGAGGAGCTTTAGGGAGCTCGTCCGGGTGGCATTCAACAAGGGCATCCACATGAGGAGGGGGGGGGGGACAGCTGCTAACGATTTGAGCCCCTTACTCCGGCTAAAGAATTTGTCCAGTTAAAAAAAATATATTTGAAAGGAAAAATAAAAATACTCGAAAGCGTCTGTTTATTTTTAATTTTTGGGGGGGTTTTTTATTATTCTTTTTTTATTGTTTTTTTTTAAAGAACTGACTTCTATTATATTATTTTAAAATTTATTTAGCAATGTGTTGTCACAACAAAGGAGGAAGAACAACAAAAATTGTTCCCTAGTGCAGCGTTCCCCAAATGATAGTCCGTGGACCGGCGTCCGTCCGAGAGACTAGCGTTGTCTGACCAACACCTGTCTGAGAGTCTAACGTTGTCAGACCAGCACCTGTCCGAGAGTCTAACGTTGTCAGACCAGCACCTGTCCGAGAGTCTAACGTTGTCTGACCGACACCTGTCCGAGAGCCTAACATTGTCTGACCAACACCTGTCCCAGAGTCTAACGTTGTCTGACCGGCACCTGTCCGAGAACTTAACGTTGTTTGACCGACAACTGTCTGAGAGCCCAGAAATTGGTAAAATAGAATGCAAATTTCAAAACTTAACGTTTGGGAAACTCTTCCCTTGTCCACATTAGGCGTTTGTCTGAGGATAGAATAATCTCCTTTCTAAAATGTTATGAACCTACATTTTTGAGCGCACAGCTCTGAGCCACTCAGACGGAGATGGAATTTACGGCATAAAACAAAAAAAAAAAAGTAATAACAAAGAATGCTTATTAAAATTCTTTTTTTTTTTTTTTTTTTTTTAATGGAAGGATTTTATTTTTTTATTTTATTCTAAAATGTTATGAACCTACATTTTTGGGCGCACAGCTCTGAGCCACTCAGACGGAGATGGAATTTACGGCAAAAAACAAAAAAAAAAAAGTAATAACAAAGAATGCTTATTAAAATTCTTTTTTTTTTCTTTTTTTTTTTAAAGGCAGGATTTTATCATTTGATTTTCTGAAAAATTTGAAGAATTTTAGCGAAATTGTAATTATGTGTTATCAATATGTTATCATTGTAGGTAGTCAACAATCTTCTAACAATTTTAAAACTGTACTTGTTTGTATAAATAATAATAAAGCCTACATTCACAATATGTACCACTATTAAAAGACAATTTTGTAATTTACGCTAATGAGACTTGGTCCGTTTAGTGAGACTTGATCCTTTTATTGAGACTTGGTCCTTTACCAGAAAAGCAGAGAACCAGCTCAACATGAGGGTGAATAAAATCCTAAAAGAGAAATACCTTACCGTAATAGACAATGATGGGCGGAGAATCACTAGAAGCCAAGACATATATCAGTTTTACGGACACCCGCTAACAGTCTCTCACACAACCTTAAATAAAACAACCCTTAAAAACAAGTGTTGTTTTTTCGTAGAGATCCTTTATAAAATTTTAAACCGAGCAAAGTGGGAGAAGGCTGACATCCGACAAAATATGCAATGACGTAACGCACTTGATAAGCATCCCAATTAGTGCCCCCCCCCCCCCACAAAAAAAAAAAAAAAAAAAAAAACCCACTCGCAACCACCCATTATTTTCCACGCTCCTGAACTATATTAATAATCTAAGGACCCAACCGCTTTTACACTGCAGATTTATTTCACCAACTATTTCAGTAAAACCGAAATATTGCAGGCAGTAAATTGAAGTGGGGCAACGAAATCCAGTATAATTGTAATCTCGCGTCCATTTAAAAAAATGACTCTACTTCAACAAGTAAAGATTTGAATTATTTTTTTTTTGTTAAACGCCAGGCAGTCGGTCACAGTTGACAAAAGTTGGCCTTTTCTCTAAGCTTGACATAAAGATATAATCCTTCATCGGATGAGAACACAATCCACAAGATTATACCTAAGTGTATTATCATTCATCTCTTTTTGTTCATGTCACGCTCTGGTTCTGTGAAGCCCCTTTAGCGATAGAGGTCCTCAAAAAGTTTAAAGGAATTCCCACTGACCTAAACGTAATTTTATTATAATTATTATTATTATTCACGTAACTTAATCAAACCCTGTGTTTAAAAATTTATATCATGGTTAAAATATCCCTCTTAAATCTGAAAAAAAAAAATTAAATAAAGAAGCTTTAATTAAATATATAAATAAAAAATTACTTCCAAACACTTTTAGCGGAGACCACTACTTCAAGGGAAGTAATGAGTAATATTTAAACAAACTATTATTGTTAGTCAGTTCCCCTGTTCATGAGCTTGTATCCTTCTATTAGCTTCTTCGTTGATTTCCTAAAGTTTGATGGGGAGAATAGAATTATAATTCATAAGTTATATAAAAAAATAAGTTAAAATAAATTCATTCATTTTATATTTAATAAAGTAACTTACTGTCCCCTTTCGACATGGAATTTTAGTACTTCCCAATTTTTTTAAACTTAATTCGCCTCAAACATTTTTGTTTTTCAGCAAAATCGATTTGAGTATCTTATATTTACATGAATGATCCCAAAATGAAAATCTATTATTCTCCAATAATTTGAGGAAATTAACAGAATTTTAAACGATTATGGCGATTTTTAAAATCCATTATGATTTATAAATTATAAATGATAAATTTATTTGTATTATGATATTTTAACAAAAAATCAATTGAAATGTTTTAATGTCAATGCAATGTTGTTGTAAAGTCATTACAACCAGTTGCCTCTATATCTGACTGTTATTTACAATCAGTTGCCTCTATATTTGACTGTTATTTAAAAGTAGTTACCTCTATATTTGACTGTTATTTAAAAATAGTTGCCTCTATATTTGACTGTTATTTAAAAATAGTTGTCTCTATATTTGACTGTTATTTAAAAATAGTTGCCTGTATATTTGACTGTTATTTAAAAATAGTTACCTCTATATTTGACTGTTATTTAAAAATAGTTTCCTCTATATTTGACTGTTATTTAAAAATAGTTGTCTCTATATTTGACTGTTATTTAAAAATAGTTGCCTGTATATTTGACTGTTATTTACAATCAGTTGCCTCTATATTTGACTGTTGTTTAAAAATAGTTGCCTCTATATTTGACTGTTATTTAAAAATAGTTGCCTCTAAATTTGACTGTTATTTAAAAATAGTTTCCTTTATATTTGACTGTTATTTAAAAATAGTTGCCTCTATATTTGACTGTTATTTACAATCAGTGGTCTCTATTTTTGACTGTTATTTACAATCATTGTCAGGAGCGCTGGTTCCGGGTTCGTCACCAGGGTAAGCGCCACCCGGGGTGCGCCAGTCTTTCTTGCCACCCCTTCTTCGAAAAAAATTATAAGCATGCCAAAACTTCCTCCCCTCACAATAAAGGCACCCCTACTTTCCTACGCCACTGGGGCTGGATTCTAACCCGTATCCGACCTACCTTCTATTCATAACGACGTGTAAAAAAAAAATGGGAGAATGTTTCTTTTAAAAACATTTATAGTGTGTATTGAAATGTGTGCTTATTTTCTTGCAGCCTTATGCACAGTTACCTAATGGTGAAGAAATTGCAAGGAAAATGTAGGCACCAAAAAGACAAACACGGGGACATACTTCAGTGAACATACTCGCCACTACACACGTTGACACTGTCATACAGTCGGACTAAATACATGGTTGTAGTTGGTACACATGGTGCCACTGTCACACAGTGGGACTAAACCGATGTAGTTGGTGCACATGGTGCCACTGTCACACAGTGGGACTAAACCGATGTAGTTGTTGCACATGGTGCCACTGTCACACAGTGGGACTAAACCGATGTAGTTGGTGCACATGGTGCCACTGTCACACAGTGGGACTAAACCGATGAAGTTGTTGCACATGGTGCCACTGTCACACAGTGGGACTAAACCGATGTAGTTGGTGCACATGGTGCCACTGTCACACAGTGGGACTTAACAGCCGCAGTTGGGCCCTAATGGCGTGGTCTGGTATCGATCCTGTTTTCTGTGTGTGTTGATAAAGGCGAGTTAAAAATAGTCCCAATATCGATCTATGAGAAAGCACAGATTTCACCCGCACCACCCAAAGGTAAATTTTACCTGTTGGCCGAGGGCAAGAGTGTAACATGGAATAAGAGCACCTCCACTTATAGGAAGCTTCTGTTGGCCGAGGGCAAGAGTGTAACATGGAATAGAAATACACCCACTTATAGAAAGCTAGTTTTATACAACTTACATTGACGGATATAAATAGAACATAAGATGGGTGAGTACGTTAAAGAATGCTAAAACATAATGGACGAACAAGATATATGGTAACGGTACACACGACAAGCCTCGTAGGCTTACAAGTCTCGTAGGCATACAAGCCTCGTAGGCATACAAGCCTCGTAGGCATACAAGCCTCGTAGGCATACAAGCCTCGTAGGCATACAAGCCTCGTAGGCATACAAGCCTCGTAGGCATACAAGCCTCGTAGGCATACAAGCCTCGTAGGCATACAAGCCTCGTAGGCATACAAGCCTCGTAGGCATACAAGCCTCGTAGGCATACAAGCCTCGTAGGCATACAAGCCTCGTAGGCATACAAGCCTCGTAGGCATACAAGTTTTCACCCGTGAAGCCATCTTAAAACCGGTGCTTGTTCTTTTATTGTTGTTTTTTTTTTAACTGGAGTAAGTACCTAAGAATCCCATGAGGTTTTCTACACACTAGTTTGTTAAATAGTGTGGTTTGTGAGGCTCTCCAATAGTAAGTAACGAACACTTCCATGGGACTATCTATACACTAGTTTGTTAAATAGTGTGGTTTGTGAGGCTCTCCTATAGTAAGTACCGAACACTTCCATGGGACTATCTATACACTAGTTTGTTAAAGAGTGTGTTTTGTGAGGCTCTCCTATAGTAAGTACCTAACAATCCCATTAGACTATCTACACATTAGTTTGTTAAATAGTGTGGTTTGCGAGGCTCTCCTATAGTAAGTACCTAACAATCCCATTAGACTATCTACACACTAGTTTGTTAAATAGTGTGGTTTGCGAGGCTCTCCTATAGTAAGTACCCACCAATCACATTAGAGTATCTACACACTAGTTTGTCAAAGAATATGGCACCTAACAATCTTATGAGGTTATCTACACAATAATTTGTATAATAATGTGGTGTGTGCGGTTCTACCTGAAAACAATAATAGGACACTAAGAGACGACCAGATCCAGAAACTAAGAACTTGATCAAATCCAGAAACTAAGAACTTGACCAAATTCAGAAACTAAGAACTTGACCAAATCCAGAAACTAAGAACTTGACCAAATCCAGAAACTAAGAACTTGACCAAATCCAGAAACTAAAAACTTGACCAGATCCAGAAACTAAGAGCTTGACCAAATCCAGAAACTAAGAACTTGACCAGATCCAGAAACTAAGAACTTGACCAAATCCAGAAACTAAGAACTTGACCAAATCCAGAAACTAAGAACTTGACCAAATCCAGAAACTAAGAACTTGACCAAATCCAGAAACTAAGAACTTGACCAAATCCAGAAACTAAGAACTTGACCAAATCCAGAAACTAAGAACTTGACCAAATCCAGAAACTAAGAACTTGACCAAATCCAGAAACTAAGAACTTGACCAAATCCAGAAACTAAGAACTTGACCCAATCCAGAAACTAAGAACTTGACCAAATCCAGAAACTAAGAACTTGACCAGATCCAGAAACTAAGAACGTGACCAAATCCAGAAACTAAGAACTTGACCAAATCCAGAAACTAAGAACTTGACCAAATCCAGAAACTAAGAACTTGACCAAATCCAGAAACTAAGAAATTGACCAAATCCAGAAACTAAGAACTTGACCAAATCCAGAAACTAAGAACTTGACCAAATCCAGAAACTAAGAACTTGACCAAATCCAGAAACTAAGAACTTGACCAAATTCAGACACTAAGAACTTGACCAAATCCAGAAACTAAGAAATTGACCAAATCCAGAATCAAAGAACTTGACCAAATCCAGAAACTAAGAAATTGACTAAATCCAGAAACTAAGAACTTGACCAAATCCAGAAACTAAGAACTTGACCAAATCCAGAAACTAAGAACTTGACCAAATCCATAAACTAAAAACTTGACCAAATCCAGAAACTAAGAACTTGACCAAATCCAGAAACTAAGAACTTGACCAAATCCAGAAACTAAAAACTTGACCAAATTCAGAAACTAAGAACTTGACCAAATCCAGAAACTAAGAACTTGACCAAATCCAGACACTAAGAACTTGACCAAATCCAGAAACTAAGAAATTGACTTAATCCAGAAACTAAGAAATTGACCAAATCCAGAAACTAAAAAATTGACCAAATCCAGAAACTAAGAACTTGACCAAATCCAGAAACTAAGAACTTGACCAAATCCAGAAACTAAGAACTTGACCAAATCCAGACACTAAGAACTTGACCAAATCCAGAAACTAAGAAATTGACTTAATCCAGAAACTAAGAAATTGACCAAATCCAGAAACTAAGAAATTGACCAAATCCAGAAACTAAGAAATTGACCAAATCCAGAAACTAAGAACTTGACCAAATCCAGAAACTAAGAACTTGACCAAATTCAGAAACTAAGAACTTGACCAAATCCAGAAACTAAGAACTTGACCAAATCCAGAAACTAAAAACTTGACCAGATCCAGAAACTAAGAGCTTGACCAAATCCAGAAACTAAGAACTTGACCAAATCCAGAAACTAAGAACTTGACCAAATCCAGAAACTAAGAAATTGACTTAATCCAGAAACTAAGAAATTGACCAAATCCAGAAACTAAGAACTTGACCAAATCCAGAAACTAAGAACTGGACCAAATCCAGAAACTAAGAAATTGACCAAATCCAGAAACTAAAAACTTGACCAAATCCAGAAACTAAGAACTTGACCAAATCCAGAAACTAAGAACTTGACCAAATCCAGAAACTAAGAACTTGACCAAATCCAGAAACCAAAAAATTGACCAAATCCAGAAACTAAGAACTTGACCAAATCCAGAAACTAAGAACTTGACCAAATCCAGAAACTAAGAACTTGACCAAATCCAGAAACTAAGAACTTGACCAAATCACTAAGTTGTAAGGAATCTACACATTCTTCCAAGGAGCTATTAGAATTTAAATTCATACCGTGGGTTTTTGTTGTACGTTCGCAAACCAAAACCGTATGTGCCGCCCATATTGCCACGTGCATTTAACGCAACTAGGAGTTTTGATACCTAAAACAATTAATTATCTCACTTGTATATACTTTGGTACAGTTTTCCCACCAGTTAGTTATTTCATGTGCATATAACTTGACCTAGAAGTCATTATTTCATGTGTAGGCTATATAAATTTAGCTCTATAGGTATGTCACTTTCTCAATTGCTTGTGATATTAGGTCATTCTACAAACCAAACCCAAAATTAACCTATAGAACAAACAATCAATAAGACGCCAAGTACATATAAACAAAATCTATGTCAATGTTTATATATAAGTATATTTCCAGTGGTTCCCTTGTGTATAAACTTTAGCTGTGATATTTACATCCTGACATTTATTTACAAACTAAAAACCTAGTTAAATTGAACTCAAATTGCATTCACCGCATATCCTGTTTACATGTTAGTAACTCAAATTGCATTCACCGCATATCCTGTTTACATGTTAGTAACTCAAATTGCATTCACCGCATATCCTGTTTACATGTTAGTAACTCAAAGCTCGTGCAGAGTTTGTGATCGGGTCAAGGTCGCCCTAATGTTATGGGTCCTGGCACTGATGGTCACCCTCCCTTTAAGTATTGTCTCCGTGGCCACCTGGAGTTGGATGAGCTGGACAGATTCGGCGCTACATGAAACAAATGAGTTTGGCCTCTTCTATGACGCAGACATCACGCGGCCATCTTGTGTTATGGAGGATATCACCAGGGAAACGGAAGAAAGCGTCTATCTCACGTGTAAGTTTGTTCAGGTGATCAAAATGTGTTGTTGTATTTCTGTTTTTTTTTCTTTTTTGCTGTTGTTTTTTTTTTCCTCCTGAAGTTATTTATAGTGGTCAAAAATCATGAGATTCATCCTGGATAAAAAAAAATAATTAGATGTTCACCAGCTTCACTCTTAACTTAAACCCTTTGGTCATTGGTCGTAAATCTGATGCTCTTAGATGGAACAAATTAACCTTTGTACTATACGATTTTTTCGCTCCTTTATTTCTCATGCAAAGTACATCAAATTTATCGATAGTTTTCTTACAGTATATACATCTCCTCTTATGATTTTGAAGATCGTCAAAGTCCTATATTCAAATCCTCTATTTCCAGTCTCTATGGATGCCTAATAATCTTCTATTTTCAGTCTGTATGAATGCCTACCAATCCTCTATTTCCAGTCTCTATGGATGCCTAATAATCTTCTATTTTCAGTCTGTATGAATGCCTACCAATCCTCTATTTCCAGTCTCTATGAATGCCTAACAATCTTCTATTTCCAGTCTCTGTTGATGCCGTGGCAGGTTTGGTGATTACTGGAATTATTGTTGACGCCATAGCTTTCGTCCTTGGATTCACCTACTTCTACATCCGGGGTAAAGAGAAGGTCAAGCTATGGAGATTTTACATACCAACATCAGTAGCTGCACTTTCTGCGGGTAATTCGTTGTTGCTGTTTTTAAAAAATTCATACACTAAGAGTAGGGGCAAACGAATTCATTGCAACCGATCACCAAGGCCATGGTCCGGCGAAAAAAATGGGGGGGGGGGGGGGGGGGGAAAAGAGCCAATATTAGATGGGTGCCAACATCGTCCAGTTGTTGCTGTTTTTAAAAAATTCATACACTAAGAGTAGGGGCAAACGAATTCATTGCAACCGATCACCAAGGCCATGGTCCGGCGAAAAAAATGGGGGGGGGGGTGGGGGTGAAAAGAGCCAATATTAGATGGGTGCCAACATCGTCCTAAGCTAGTACCTTATTTGTGAATCAGCCGATCCAACCCCACGCACTTCACAGTGACAAGGGGAGTCAAAGTCGTCTCTTTACTGGTCCGCTCTGTGCGGTACTTTTTATTGATGGGCACTACTTTCAGCCTCCGCCCCGGATGCCGCTTTTCTTCGGCGCGGCCATGGTCAGGGCACCAGAACTTTTTGACATGGTGCCTGAATTGGTTAAGTTATCAAAAATGTGTTGTTGTTATGTTTCGTTTTTCTTCTGTTTCGGGTAAATTCCTAAATATTCGTTTGTTTCCAAGTTTTTGCTCAGAATTTATTTGTTAGTTTATTACCCAGCAATACGAGGGTTCCTTGCTTTAGGACACTCCAAAAACGTTCAAACAGTTGCGGCACATCTAAAACGTGTTTCCTGGCAGTGACGCGTGACTATTGTCTACGCTGCGCTCCTAAAAGTTTGATATAAACATATAATGTTTTGACTTAGTCTCCTAATTTAATATTAAGTTTCTGATTATTTCGAAAATTCGCTTGATGATTTCCTGTGCAGACTCATCAATGTTGTCAATGTTCAACATCAGTAAACAGTGAGATTGTAAAATTTTCTAATTGTCATTAGTTTGAAAGACTTGTGTCAACAATAACTAACCATCACTGATCATAAACATCAGGCTATAGTTTGTGTGCGAAGTCAACGCCTACAGTAATGATCAACTTAGTAGTTCGGAAGAGGGGGAAAAAATGGGTGTCTGTAATAAAACAAAACAATTTTTTTAGATGCTCAGATAAAAATTAAAGATGGTTGACAATGGTTGCTGTACTAGATTTTTTTTTTGTTTACACTTTTGGCACACACCTGAAATAAAATGTAACTACATCACAACGAACTTAAATGCCCAATGATGTGAGATTACGGTTTCATTGGACATGGAGGATAAAACAAAATGTATGGATTTTATTAATTTTTTGACAATTATGGCTCATTTAGCAGGCGCTAAAAGGGAACACTCATGTATAATAGTATAAACCAACCTAAATTTTATATCTATATATATGACACTATTGAACACATTGGAGGCCCTGAAACTGTATTTCACACATTGGGGATGGTAAACTAGGTCATGGTTGTCAATTTCTGTCAGTCTAATCAATAGTCAACTAATTGTACCCCCCTCCCCGCGCACCACTTCTCCCCCCCTAACAGCTGCTTTTATTCTGATTGGCTGCCTGGTGTTCGTCGACGACATGTCCGACGCCCTTGACGGTCCCATGATCCCAAGGAAGGATGCCTCGTGTCAAACAGACGTCAGTCAGGTCCGACTGACCCTGGAGTACGGCTGGAGCTTCTACCTGTCTCTCGTCTGTGGCGGCGTCTGCTGTGTCAAGGGCATCGTGTTCGCCCTGGTCTCGTGCTGGTGCTGACCATGACGTCAGTGAAATGGAGTCACGACGTCAGTGAAATGGAGTCATGACGTCAGTGAAATGATGTCATGACGTCAGTGAAATGGAGTCATGACGTCAGTGAAATGATGTCATGACGTCAGTGAAATGATCTCATGACGTCAGTGAAAAGATGTCATGACATCAGTGAAATGATGTCATGATGTCATGACGTCAGTGAAATGATGCTGATTGTATATAGTTCAAATTATGAGATTGACTGTTTGATACATCATTGCTGTGCATGTGGATGACGGTCTTCAGGTTGTCCTACAGACAAACGCCTTAATTGGGGAAAGTGTTAAAATGAAGGGGAAGGAATGAGAAGAGGTTTGGGGTGTAAAACTATCGTGGATATTACCACAAGGAACAAGATTTAAATTAAATAAAAGAAGAGGTTAGACTTTTAAGCCCTTTCATGGATAATAACGATAAAATCAGTTTATATTTAAATTAAAAAAAAAAGATTTTTGACTTTAAGCCCTATCATGACTGGTAACAAAGAGGAAGATTTCTTTTCAAAACAATCCTTTATTTTATTACGTTACACAATACTGTATACTGTTCATGGTTCGTTTAAATTAATTACGACATGTAATAAAACAAAACATTAACATAATGATAATTGTAATGACACACTTTTATTGCTTGGCTATGGTAAACAAACCTTCTGTGTCATAATTTTATAGCGATTTATAGCAGCCATACAAGCAAATTTTTGTCATTTCAAACGCTTATATTATCAACGATTCAGTCTTTTCTATTGTTATTGGAGAAGGGGACAAAATTAAATCTTCTATTTATCTCCCACGGCAAGCTGCTTTATGTATGGCATATTAATTTAAGTAGGTCATATTACGTTATGTAGGGCAAATTAATTTATGTATGCCATATTACTTTATGTAGGGAAAATTACTTTATGTATGGGCATATTAATTTATGTAGGTCATATTACTTATGTAGGGCATATTACTTTATGTATGGGCATATGACCTTATTTAGGTCATATGGAGTTATGTAGGGCATATTACTTTATTTAGGCCCATATTTGCCATGTAGGGCATATTACTTTAAGTAAGACGTATTAATTTAATCAAGTCACATTACTTATGTATGGCATATTACTTAATGTAAGGAATATTACTTTA